ATATTTTTCATTATTACTAATTTTTTTAAATCATGAAGTACGTCTCAACTTTACTTCGATTGAGGGCTTTGTTGTATATTGCCGGCGTTCTTTTTAAAACATCTGTGGGTTAGAGCTTTAAAGTTTGTTTTGCTAATGAAATATGAAATACGTGAAAAGAGTGAATGATCTTGAGAATTTAAGTGTAAATAAGACCTAGTATTTCACACTAGTAAATATTAAAAAAAAATAAATGATACCATCACCTCAACTACCTGAAAGGGAAAAAATTTATCTTTTCCTCTCAGAAGCTTTACAAAAATAATCTGTGAAAAGTAACCTATGTTTGTACTAATCAATAGATCATTGGTACACCATGTTACTCAAGTCATTCTTTCCTTAATCAGGTAGCAGTTTGAAGATTAAAACCTCTCTGGATTGTATGTGTTACTTAACAGTTACTTTGGGGTATAAATTTAGAAGCTTGTTTTGATTAGGTGCTGTGTAAGCACATTAAATAACATGGAGTCCCCAGATCAACTGCATTAACACAGGAATGTTTACTTAAATATTGAATCTACATGATTCAATACTGTAATTTAAGACTTTATTAAACAGTAAACTTCAGTGTACACAGGCAAAAACCTAATGGTGGTACAGAAATAAGCAAACAATTCATTAGCAGTACGCCAGTACTGTTACTTTAAGAATCCTTTTCTGATCCTCTATGAAATAAATGATTTTTTTTCTATGTATTGTTCCTATAGTAATCTAGCATTTCTGGTACAGTAAACCCAAAATAATTTGTTTTGAGCAATCTGTAAAAACACTTGTTAAAGGCAGTGGGAAGTGTGTAGTGATTTTGCTGGAGATGAAGAACTCAGATTTTTGACTTTCCTTTTCCCTTCCGCTTCCACCCCATCTCCCCAGGTCCTGTATTCCAGTTTGGAAGTAATACTGCTCATTTCAACTTTTCAAGCAACCCAGGGGTATTTACTTTTGGTGCAAATCCTAATGCATCAACAGCACCGGCACAGCCTTCTGGCTCTTCAGGATTTTCATTTAACCAGCCTCCAGCATTTACAGTGGGGTAAGACTACAGCTGAGGATTGGGCAAGGGTAGGAGACAGGTAGTACGGGGAAGAGACCATGTCACAATTTCACTTGAGCTATGGGTAATAACAGTTGGACAGTGGTGAGCCTCTCGTGCTGTTAAATACAGAGGTATTCAGATGAACTTTGGAATTTATATCTAAATTTGGCATCTTTCCTTGATGTATTAGCTTGGCTGACTAACAAACCAGTGCTACTTTTAAAGGAGCCTAGTTCTCAGAAACATCACACATCAACATATGTGAAATTTTCTCATTCTTGAAAAATAAAATTTATATTTATCCCTTAGGCTGCTACTTACCTTCTGCATGAGAGATGTAATTGCTTTTTGTTTCTGGAATTCTCTTCCTGTTTAGCATTTACCATTTGTTGCCATCTGATAGCTAGTGAGACAGACTGTAACATAGCCGTTCTGGAATATTTACTCAGTGTTACTACTGAATTTTCAGCTACACTGTCCTAAACTCTGAACTACTAATTTCTTTTGATAGGACTAATGGGAAAAATATTTTCTCTGCCTCTGGATCTTCAGTTTCTGGTCGGAAGATAAAGACTGCAGTTAGACGTAGAAAATAATCATCCTGATTGGTAAAGCAACTTTCAAAACAGCTGCTACCCTGCATCCCCACCATCGTTCAATTGTTGGGATTGTACCTCATGCTGGGTTAGCTGAAGTCAGATCTGCCTAAAGGAATATAAAACTCTGCTGCCCTTACCTTCCCTCCCTCCATTTAGTTTTTTGGTAACAAGTAGAGTTGGCAACAAGGCCATTCTCGAGCAAAACTATTTTAGAATCCAGCAATTTACTTCTTTCACTGACTTGGCATGGTCTGGCTATAGACATGAATATAGCCTGCACAGTGAATGGCTTGTACAATACCTCTTCATCTGCACCACTTTGTGCGCTCATCTGCGTTTACTGACGCCTCGAAATTGTAATTATATCAGTGAGGGATTCTGTATAGAGTAGAGAATGTTGATAATGAATGATTTCTATGCTGAGTTTGTGCTGGTGTATGTGTGAAGTGAGTGAGTTTGGGTGTATTGTGCACTAAAATTTTCTGATAGAGGAAGACTGATTAAAGGATGATCCATGCTAAGGACTTGTTAGATCTGTAGTTCTCCATTTAATAATTATATGCTATTTCTATATTTTCATTCTTACAGCCCTTTATCACCTGTCTCGCCTTTGTTATTTTATTATGGAACATGTGTAAATACAATTTTGTTTCTCTATGTACTTTTTTGGCATAACAAATCTGTGAAATTGAAATTTTAATTTTGTGTGTTACGGCCATTTTTGTTTAGTATTGTCTCAGATTTTATTATGTAAATCCCATTATTCAAAGTTGCCTAAATCCATTTAGAAAATCTTTAAAATTGGGAATTCTTAAAGTAAGTTTATTGGCTTTTCTGATCCATTTTTGTTTGGACCAAAAACCAGTATTGTACAAAGTATTAAGTATATATTTTTATATTTACTGAAATGGACTGTGGTGACTTTGGATAATAAGGAAAAGTTTAATATTAAAGCCATGTTTATTACAGTATAATTAACATGTTAAACCATGGGATAAATGCCATCAATAAAAACTATGAAATATTGTCCAGCAGTTTTAACTCCAAATGAAGGCATTAGCAGCTGTAATTGTACAAGACAAGGCACTCTACTTGAGCAAAGTTACATATTTTTTTACAACCTCTGCTTTTTGACAGTGACCCTGATGCTGATTTTCAAGAATCTTAAATTATTTTTAGGGTCCCTGCCAGTGAAGGGAGTTTCAGTGCATGCTTGCTTGGAACCACATGTCTGCATCTCAGCTGTCTAGGTACAATAGTTAAATAGTGAATTTTTAGAGCTTTTTAAAAAAAAGCTCTATATTACTGATGTTCACTAGCATTCTAACTGAAAATGAATTCTAGCATGCAATTCTAAGTGAATCATTTGTCATTGTCCCCCACCCCTCCACCCAGGTGTTAGAGGAGTTTCTTAGCAGCTGTTATTCTAGTAACATGATGGAGGATGCTCTTGTTTGGGTGTTATAGCTGAACTTAGTCACAGTATTTAGTTTAAGGCTGAGAGCTGATCACTTGCTGCAATTACAGCTGAAAACACCACCACTTTCCTTTCTTATTGTAAAGGGAGAAAAGACCTGCATGACCTACTTAGCTTAGAATAGTTGCATAAGCTCTTTAAACACTACCACTGCAGAAGACTTTGTTTTGGTAAGTATTGCTAGCCTTCTTACTAGTCACCTCTAGCGCTGCTTTACACTTCGTAATAAGGGCGAGTATTTTTGTAGAAATGAGGTAGCTTTTCAAACAATGAACTACACTTGACAGGAGAACAAAAACTAGCTTTGTGTTTTGCGGCAGTCTCGCAGCATGTGTAGAACTCTGATGGGTATTTCTAAAATTGGAAGAAGTTCAGCAACTAGACTTGAGATCACACAAGCAAGTTACTATTCAGGGAGTTGCACCCTGCTGCTGTAGCTTTTGAGGGATTATATGCAATTATATATTCCCAGATTTCTAAATCCAAGAAATGTGACAGCTTTCACTTTTCTTAGCGCTTTCATATGCCAAATACTCATCCTACAACCAGGAAAAAGCGGCATCTTCAGTGCAGCTTGCACAAGAAACCAGCTAGCTGAAATTTACAATAACATAATGTATAGATATTTCCATGGACAGGTCTGTGTTCTTAGCTTCTAACATTGTTTTTTTACCTGCTGTGGAAGTAGTAATATTTTTCTACAGAGTAAGAGATACTTTCCCTTACACCTGAACTGTTAGCAATAAAATTTTAGCCCGCTATTTTGCCTTTTTTTTTTCCTCCTCATGTCTTGAATTTTAGTTTCTGAGTCACTGCTACAATAAGCAGACAAAAGGATTTTTTTATTCATACTGAAATTGAAAATAGGAAAAACCACACAGCGACCCTCAGTTAGCTCTGACAGCTTTAGTTTCTGAACGTTCGGTGCTTAACTGAAGAGCATAAAGTCTTCGAAGGAACAGTACAGTAACATCATCTACCATTCTGTGCGTGACATCATCTGCTCACTAATGTCTTCTATGTGTTTTTAGCTAAATGCATTCACTTACTTTGATTAGTCTTACATGTAGTGACTACCAGAAGTTTTCAGACCTCTTTAACTGCCATTCATTACCTGGTCATTTTTATTTCACTGATAAATAAGTCAGTAATATTAGTATATTTGCAAGACTAAGATGATTGTCGAAAGAGCATCAGAGAGTTAAGCAACGGGATGTCATTCTCCCACTACTAAGCAGTGACTCTGGTCCAAAAACAGCTACTCTTGCAAAACACCATTATAAATGAAGATCAGAAAGTGTACGCCCCAGAAGAAAACTAAGCAATTATCGTGCTAAACCTAAGAACACCACTAATCAAACTAAGTATTACAGAATATTAACATGGCACTAGTTTATCCCACCTGAAATAAAGAGAGATTACTTAAATCCCATACAATAAACAATATTTTTACTCTCAGCCTCTTGAAACTGTAGATAAAGAACTGAACCCGTGGGGTAACAGTTACACACCTAAGGCAGGAACAGACAAAAATGGGTGTTTATTAAAATTTGAGTTCAGAATTCTTCTAGAAAACATCAGCATTGCTGCATATATGCTTTTCCCAAGACACTTGATAACATGACAATAAACAAATTACCAAACCTATGTAATCATGCAAAATATTAGGTTTCTTTATTCAATATTTAACTTATTAGGCAGAATTATAAAGCGAAAGTAACCAGTATCTGTACTCCTGTAGATTTACACCCATAACACAGTCCAGTTAACATTTTTTGCATGCTCCTGAAACTCATTCAATTGTTTTGCTTGGTCTTATATGCAAGAAATAGACAAGTACTTTCACTCCAAATAGAAGCAGGAAAGTTGCCTTTTATTAGCGTGATCGGTACTGTTCATAGCTCCAAGAATTATATACACACGCCAAGTCACTAACACTGCAGCGTAACATACCCTTCCCACAGAAAAAGCAGTTACTATTTCACCTCTTTGTTAGCTCAGATAGATGCGTGAAATAAATGACAATGCTTAAGACATACTCATGCAAAAAACTTGTCACATGACTGTTCAGCTAAAATACCTGAAAAGAGGTGAAGGAATATTAACTATGAAGCAGTAATATCTTAAGGGAAATGATGAACACTGCTCATCTCTCTCTACACATTTGGCAATTTAATGTACGTGATTAGATGCCGTTTTGCCTTACTGTCTAATACTGCAGTTCCCTTCTGTTCAGAGTTTGTCATAGGACTTAGGCAGCTGCTTGGAAAACAATTTTCTAATTACCTGTCAACACCCAAAAATTGTAGGAAAGACGTTTCTTCTAAGCTGGAGTATTTCTAGGTATCCACTTTCCACAGACTGATGAACCGAACAGCATCTTTTTGCAGTTAATGCAGTCACTTTCTTGTCAATCTAAGGGTAATACTTCCCGATTTAACAAGTACTGTTTCTCTCAAACTTCTTTGGCATTTATGAAGAGTCTAATACTTTCAAGATAGCTGCTGGCATCACACTGGAGCAACGCATTTTCTTTCGCTTCTGAATCAGCCCCCATTTAATTCAGGCAAAAGATTCTGATTGACAGTCATCTGAATTCCAGGTTTAGGTTGCTTTTCTGTTTTCTTTGTGTTTTCTGTGTGTTCAAAAACAGTCTGGAAATCTGTCATTTTTTAGAATCATCTGATTCCATTTCTTCTTACCACAATAGTTCCTGCTACAATATCGTAGGCTGTTCTGTTATGCTGAAAAAACAGCAGTGTAATAAATGCAGGGAAAAATGAAGCAATAGAAAAATTCTTGATCAAAGCTCGTATTGTAGACCTGCAGAATGAGAAAAAAAAAATATTCAGCACCTTGTTTTCACTTTTCTGCTTAGATTAGTAGTTAGCTTGCCTTCACTTTAGTGTCTCAGTTTTGCACAGCACAAAGTAAATCACAGGAATTTAAGAGGAGATATTTTACCACATAACATGGAGAATACTTGCACGATTAAATAATTAGTATTTTATTCTTAGATCACAGAATTGCAAAGCCCAATAGTACAGTAAAAATGTATTTCCTTTCAAATCATGTGCTTTCCACAGTATTAATCTGACAGCAACATAACTGAGCCAAGGGCACTTACGTTGTTATACTGACATTAGAGGACGGAATCACTAATACACGACTTGGTGCAATAAGTACAGATGTATCACATGTCACAACTCGCAGTCCAAGTAAAAATTTCCCTGGGGTTGCTCCACCTGCTCCCCAAATACAGATAATCTGTAAAAAAGAACAGCTCTTTGAATTCCACAACACACTGTCACTGACTGGTCTAGCAAATTTGGTTTCCATCAAACTGTAAAAGTCATACAACGTCAAGTAAACCAAAATACAGTAAAGACTTCCAGACCAATGATAAAAGAAAAAAGATTTACATCAGATATTTATTCAACAGCTGATCACTATTAATGTTAGAAGTTAATGTTTATGTCTAGTTACCTCATAGAAGCAGACTAACAATCTGTAGATAAGAGCTACTATCATCATTTTCTGCAGATCTTCCATGGATGTATCTTCATCTATTTCTTCTATTATGTAATGCATAGCAAATTTAGAGATGTCCCTGTACAAAATAAGACTGAGCTTTAAAAACAAAGCTTATTCGACCCTTGTCATAATACTGTTGTTACCCTTTTAGTACTATAACCCAATCCTTTGGTTCTGGTATTAATTAAAGAAGAAAAACTCCTTGACTTCTTTAATACTTAACAGGTCATTAAAATTAATTGTGCCAGGTTTTCATTCTAGGTTGTTGCCCAATTTGTTTAGTCTTTTTCACTTAAGAATTAATTACTCTGTATTACCACTTTTGCAATATGGTATCCCAGGCAGAGAGCTGCAGAACTGTTCTGAAAATTCCCACAATTCTTGGCAGATACACAAGAGATTCTGTGTGTGATCATCTAACTAACTCAATATAAATGCAGTGCATGTGCATTCAAGTCTCTTCCTCATGGGATCTCTCAAGGAAAAAGAAAAGAAAGCACTCTTCTCTCTAAATGCCAACAAGCAAGGGAAGACTTTTTCCTCCTTCACATCATCAAGGCCCTTCACTTTCAAACAGTCCCATTTGCTACTCAACAAACTCTTCTAGAGGCAAACACTGTGGCCTGCACAGGAAATCCTCAAAAAATGCAGTCAAAAAAAAAAAAAAAAAAAGATGTGCTGCACAAGATGATGAAATGACGAAGTAGACAGATATTCTCCTGACAGGATGCAACAATTTTTGTTGTAAGAATGCCCATTTTTCATAACTGGGAGTTCAGAGCAATCATTAACCTACATCAGCAGCCTGATCTACCACAACTGACTGAAGAACAACCATTCGCAGTTTCTATCTCAAAACCGTTCATTTATTGTAACCTTCTGTTACAATTAGAATTGAGATTCTGACTCTTGCTTTTAATTCACTGAATTTTATATGTGGAAAACACAAATCTTTGGGGTGCAAATACCATAAGCTGAAAATTACTGTTCCACACCAAATGTTCTGCCTTAGCAATAGTTCTATGAATAGCCATAATTTATTGAATTATTTTAGAGAACTGATTTCTATCTCTTGACAAAATTCACATTCAAGAGTTAAAACAGTTACAGCTTTCTAATAACACTGATGAAGCTCTCTTTATGAGCAGCTGGGTGCAAGCCTTAAAATTTAAGTATGAACAAACTCATCAGTTTTCATGCAGTAGTCACATGTTGTAGCTGCTCCACCCCAACACCTTGTCTTTACAAGGGCAACATCACCTCAAGTTTTCTAAAAGGTCCTCCTCAACCACCACCGTTCTTTGCCTACTTTTAGCATGTAAATAAAAAGTAAACCTCCATACTTTTCACTAGATCATGAGACTAACAGAACTTTGTTTCACCTTCAACATGGAACAATCAGTTCCCCAAATCATTCAACAGAAAGGATCCTATTATGTGTGGTATACCTTCAGCTGTTTACCCTAACAAAGCTATGCAAAGCATAAATTTGGAGTCAAGTGCATCTTTTCACAAGATAAACTTTACAGATATAACATTAATATCTGCTACCTGGAGTGGATACATTTGCAACATGTATTTAGACAAGGACTTTTCACTAACTCTTCTAAAAGACAATTAGTGCTTATATAGAAGTGTGCAGCCCTACTTCAGAACAGTGCATCTGTACTTGCACTACTTGCCCTCCTCCTTACTCAGACTTAAGGATCAAAGAATTGGTAAAATAGTGCGGCGTGGCACAATCTGTATTTTCCTTCAGTAATGACAAAACCTTTGCCTGAAGTCTCTCTCTCAAACCAGCAAGCACATGTTTTTTAATGACAACTCCTCAGCCCAACCTAAAGTTGGGCACCATATCGCACAAGCGAGAACAGAACTTTCTTCTGAACAGTTTTACTTGTAAGCAACTTCTTGGCTCTTGCAAAAGTAGTAATATTGAATATACTGGAAACTATAATTCAAAAAGAGAAAGACTCCCTCTCTTTCACATTACTCTCACTACTTTACAGAAGCAATACAGACAATAGTTGCTCCCATCTTTCCAGTACTTCAGTTTGAATCATTTTCAGTCTACTGAAAACAAGACAGAGATACTTGCTGTCATGTTGCAGTTACAGGTTTTGGCACCTGAATAAAATCAACAGGTTGGCATTTTAAATTGCAAGTTTACTTGAACAATAAAGACTGACAATTTACCTCGGCATATTTATTATTTTTGAGTTAACCCTATTCCACACACCTTTCAAGCGGTAGTTTAACATCTGTCTCAAGGACGTTATCTGTATAGTATCAGTGTACATTTGGAGGGCTCTCTTAGTGGAAAACTTGGATCCTGGAATATAGTTGTACAGTAATGGAATTACTGACTACACCAAGCTCTTATCTCCTAATCACACAAAAGTAATATTTGGCTATACCAATCCGAAGTGGAGGAACTAAACTAGCTAGGGAATAAGACGTCTGCAGTTAAAAAAACAGATGAAAAGGAAACAGTCTTTCAGGTGATTACATCAGAGGATAAAAATGTGAAATGAAGGCTGTTTCAACATAACATATACTAGATGCATATAATGCTTAATCACACTTTTTTAGAAACCCAGCTTATGCCAGTAAAGACTACAGCATGACAGCATTACTAGCAATCAGGCCATATTTTAAACTATATAGATATTTTACAAGCACGATCTGAAATACATTTTTAAAGACTTTTAAAAACAAATTCATTTGACAATTGTTTTTTCCTTGAGATTTTTAAAGGATTGTTTTTGAATTTTGCCAATATCTTCAAAAAGAGTGCAAGTCTAATCTATTATTACTAAGGAGTTAGTGAGCATGTGAAAATACAATTCTGTAAGTGGCATCCATCAGACGACCCAAAAATCAGAAAGTACTGTACAAAAGGATAACCAATTGTGCTTTTTTTTCCATAGCTTTGAAAGCTATATGAAGTGCCATCATATGCTTAATCATATCATATAGATGAATCACACGTCAAAGAACATAAAGCTGCATATAATAATGCCTTAAATTGTTCAACTTACTTTATTCCACTGAGGTGCATGATACTTAAAACAATGGTTGCCTTTATAAAGAAAAGAATAAAAAAATCCACCATCTCTGCTATAAATCTGTGTGCCAATGAAGGGATAATGAACTCCCGACCTGCAAGAGAAATAATTGAGATAATCTCAAATTTTATTGCACTAAAATAAAGTTAGCACTGTGATCTAAAAGGCATTTCACATTAACTCCACTGCAAGGAACATTCTGAGATCTTCATCCCAACCCACATCTTTTTCAAGAAAAAGGTGCTTCATGAGTCAAAATTGATTTGAATTATTTAAACTGAGTTATAAGAACCTTCCTAAAATAAACTGTCAACTTTTCAGATTTCGGGGTTTCCTCATAATGAAAATTACAAGCAAAAGCCCATCCCTTTAAAAGAACTGAAGTACACTAAGGATGTACTTATTTTTGAATTCTTTGGCTTAGAACAACTTCCTGTAGAACAGATTTCAGTAAATCCGAGAGTTCAGATGAAAGGAAGATTCATGTAACTCCCTAAATCTATCACATCTTGTATATCCCTCTGCAACTAGGCCTCAAAACGTACCAAATACCAGCTCTCTGAAAGGAAAATGCAGCCTACTTTATGTCTTAAAGCATCACCCCATGAACAGGACCAGATTAAAGTATTAGCCATATTTGAAGCTTTACCTAAATGTTCTGTTGTGTCCCAGTGTAGCATATGAAATTTCATCCCTTAGAGGTCTAAGATTTGCAGGGACTCCCTGTAGCACTTTGTCAGAATACGCAGCTGTAACCACTGGCACCTGGCTTTACGTTCATGCTGTCTGTTCTTACAAGCAGCTTAGGTACAGGTAGAGAGGGCACTGCTTTAGCAGTAAGCTCTCTTCCTGTTTGTTTTTCTTCCTAGGCTTTACATCTCTGAAGACTCACACCTCCACAGCTGCGCAGCCTGTTTCAACAAGCACAGTGGTCTATACAAGGCCTGCAATAAGTAGTTTTTCTGCAGGTAAAGAGACCTCTAAACAAGCTTCATCATACTGGCAGTCTGACGCGTGCGACCCGTGTCTGCAAAACAAGGCCACGGATAACAAATGTGTAACCTGTCAAGCTGCTAAAGGGTCGGCAGTCGAGAGTACAAAGCAGACAATGAGCTCAAGTCTAAGCAGCATCTCCAAGTCAGCAGCCCCTACCGCAGGGGCACTCGGCTTTGGAGACAAATTTAAAACAGCACCTGGAACATGGGATTGTGATACGTGTCTAGTCCAGAACAAACCTGAAGCTACCAAGTGCGTAGCATGTGAGACGCCAAAGCCTGGCACAGGAGTAACGCCTGCTCTGACGTTGCCAGTGGCCACGGACAACTCGGCGACAGTCACTTCCTCCTCCGGTGGCACTGACACAACGGTCACTCTGGGGTTTGGAGACAAATTTAAGAAGCCAAAAGGCTCCTGGGACTGTACGGTGTGCCTTGTGTCAAATAAGGCGGAAGACAGCAACTGTGTAGCCTGTCAGTCTGAGAAACTAGGTATGTTACTTTGCTTTCTCTCGTTTCACCTCTCAGCTTCTGTAGAGTCGTCACAGAACAAAACAAACTGCTTATTTAAACAACGTATTCTAAGCAGAATAGCTGTATGCGCAGCAGGGATGATGGATTAGCATCTGCCTGCAGGAAGGAGTACAGGCACTTTTGAGGTGTCAGCCAAGATCCCGAATGAGTACAGGCACTCTTGCGGTGTCAGCCGAGATCCCAGCCTGCGTCATGTGAATTGAACTGACTGGGGACTGTGTTAGTACAGGGCTGAATCCAAGCAAATACACCCTGCTTTTGTAGCTGGTCAGGAAAGACGGTGAACTTGGAGGCCTTAGTTAAGTCGCAAGCAAGCTACTGACTTTCCCTGGGGAAAAACAAAGGAGTTGAACATAACTGCTTTTTCCCTTCCAAAAGGTAATTAGAAACCATTTTTACAAGACGCGGCTGAAAACGCCTTGGACCCACCATTTGCATGCAATTGAGGGGGGAGGCATGAAGCCAGGTTTCAAGACAGTGCAGTCTTAACTAGTCTCCTTAGACAGAACCCTGTGGACAGGTACGCCCGCAAAGGCCCACAGCAGCCCTTCAGGGCACGGGTTACCCGCCGGGTGCCTTGTTCATTGTTTCTGCTTCTACGGGACTGTAATTGATTTTGAGTGTGGTGACTTTACGGGCTTTTTTTTAAAGCCTAAGTAACTATTTTACCGTTAAATTTCTCTGGCTGTGAGCATCATTTAATGCACTGTTACATCAAGAACACCTTTTCAAAGATGTCCTGAGAAAAACCTAGCAGGGACTAGATTTTGCTTTTCTAATCATCTGGAACAGTCAGAGTGAAACTTCTTCAGCTAGGATGATGCCCTTCAGAGGGAGGCTGTTCTTCTCTTGGACGTTCGGCTTCAGAGCGGTCGGCTGGCACTTTTGTCTGGGGCTTTACTCGCTGCAAGGAGGAATTTTGGAAATGAGGGGTTTACTGTGACCGTGAGGGGGCAGAGAACCGCACGGTTACGTTACATCTGTCGAGGGGAAGAGCGATTCAAGTGAAAGGAGAGGATAAGAATTCTCTGGCTGTGCCTGTAGAAGAGAAGACCCCTTCCTGCCTTTGCTGTTTCGAATGGGAGACGTTGTCTTCTGCCTCTCCCTCAAAAGTCACCCTCTGCGGTTTAAAACTGTAGGGGGTGAGCGGTGAGCGTGGGAGTTGTGTTCCATGCAGAACACTCTTGCGTTCTGGATTCCCGCATGAGTCCTCGTATTTGCTGCCTACTGGGGTGCAGCATCAAGTGACATCTCTTCCTCCAGAGGGGAGGAAAGTCAGAAGGAAAGCGCTGTCTCCTTTGGGCCTCCTTATGGAGGTTTCTGCCGCTGTTGAAAACAGGGTCGCTTGTGTAACCGAACGCAGAGTTGGGGATTTGGAAGTCTTGAGTTCCTTGCCTGTTTTTTTGTTGGGGCGTAGTTTTGAACAGGTCTGTCTTTGGAATTTGCTGATGAATCAGTCTGAGAAATCGTTCTCGGCCTCGCATCACTTTACAGTGGTTGTAAGCTGAGTAATGCTAACATTGACTAACAGGTACCCCTGTCATCAGAAACTCTTTCTGTAGTCTGTCGAGCATGGCGCCTGAAATAGGCCATGCTGCTGTATCGTATGAAACACGCTTGCTGTTTAAATGTGACACTGGTTCCGTTTGTGCCTCAAATTACGTAACGGGTTATTAAAAAAAAAAAAAAAAGAGAGACTGTGTATCTCTATTATACTCCTTCCTGTCTTGGACTGAGTTTGACCAAAATTACTTAACCTACTTGACTTTTTACTGTAGTACTTTGCCCACTTCATAACTTAGCAGGCCTTTAAGAGTTCCTCAAAGCGTTTGCGTTCACTTTAACGTTTAAGCAGGCTGTTTAACTCTTTTCCTTATCGCCTAGGGAGTTCAGTGCCTGTGACCAGTAGCAGTGTTTCTGCGTTTCCTGCTTCTTCTGGAGGATTTCTGGATTTAGACAAATTCAAGAAGCCTGAAGGAAGAAGCTGGGATTGTGAGGTCTGCTTGGTCCAAAACAAAGGAAGCAGTTCTGGGAGGCTTCAGTTTTGGCACAAGTTCTGCTTCTTCCACAGCTACCACTGAGAATAAGGCGGGAGTCGGCAGCTTCAGTTTTGGAACCATGACAGAAAAGGAGGTTGCGTCGGCTTCTTTTGCATTTAAGAAGTCCGATGAGAAAAAGGATGAAACTCCTTCAACCAAGGCAGGCTTCTCTTTTGGCAACGTGGAGCCTGCACCTGCCTCACAGTTTGTTTTGGGAAGGACAGAAGAGAAGCAGGACTCTGTCGCTTCTGCTGCTCCCTTAGCGTTTGGAAAGAAAGCTGACAACGAAGAGTCAAAGGCACAGCCTATCTTTTCATTTGGGAAGTCTGAGCATACCAAAGAAGAGAGCACAGCAAAATCTACATTCAATTTGTCGAAAGACTGCAGTGGAAAATGAAATGTCTTTATTGACGATCACAGTGTGAGAAATTCTGGTTGTTAAATCCCATTTCTATCACCTAGCAACTGTCTTTTCTAAAAGAGAATTCTTTATTAACTTCTGAAGGTATCCCTCTGCAAGTAGGCTTCGGAATGTACCAAATACCAGCTCTCTGAAAGTAAAACGCAGCCTACTTTATGTCTTAAGTCATCGATTTCTCCAGTTTAATTAGTTAAGGACAGACAGGGAATCAGTTACACACTTTTGTTGGTCACTCCTCCTCAAGTGATTGCAACGAAGAAAACATTTAAAACTATCTTGGAAAAATTCCAAGGAATAGTGTCACAGAACAATTTCATCTGGGCCCATTTGCCATTCTGTATTTCCGAAAGAGCACAAACACGACCACCCACACGAAACCAGCAAGGGCTCTCATCAAAATTTCAGTTAAACATACCTACATACTAGATGTAACGTCCAGAAAACAGTGACTGGGTCTTTTAAGTGTTTTTCAGAATGCCTGTCTGAGCTGCACAAACAGGGGAAGGACAAAAGAAAGTGAAAAGACTCCTCTCTCTAATCTCAAAAAAAAACCCCACCAAACTTCATTTAGAAGAAGATTCCACAATTCAACTGGCAAGACTGATATTCCCAGTCCTGACCTCACAAGCTATGCAAGTGGAACTGACACCCCTACACTTTTAAAAAAAGAGCTAAGTATAATCAAGCAGTGATCAAGCAAGGACAAATTCTTATTTAATGTACCCCTTTTTAAATCTTTATTTCATACCTGTTTCACTAACAACTCTGTGTCAATACTACTAAATAGCATGACTGTTACGTAACTAATACTTAAGTGGATTCAATTCTGTTTGTCAACAAGTTGTCAACAAAATTCTAATTAAAGATTCTTTAACTGAGACAGGAGGGAACGCAGCCAATTTCCCCAACAAGCTACAGGCTCGAGCGTATAGCACTGGAGAACACAAAGCAAATGAATTCTTCAAAATGTGCCACTAACTTCAGTGAATGTGCTAAGAGTTTCAGTGGAAACTATTAGACTGAAACAATAACTGGATAAGGAAGAAGTGTCTGGGACCATGAAAATCAGCATCCGAATTATGTTAAACTCCATTACATTAAGAAACTCTGATAACCCCTCAACTCTAGCAGATTTCTATTGCAGCCATTTAATATACTCCCAGCATCAGAAATCCACTGTTTTGTCAGGAGTTACTATTTGTACTGGAGGGACAGCTGAATGAAACATGCATCCATCTCAGCTCAAAGTCTGACATTAACCTAGTAACAAAGATGGGTTTGCACTTAGCCAGCCAGACAGTAAAATAAGGCAGCTGAGGCTTGAACACACTTTTTGTTCCGCTGTTCCCAGAATAAGAGCAGTAATCTCCTACACTAAGGCAAGGAGGAGAAATCAAGAGGGATGAGGGGAGGAAACATCTTGAAAAATGATGACTAAATCCACCAAAGGCCTGGTACTGCCCGGAGTGCTACTGATACTGAACTGACACACATCCGCAGGCAGATTGAACAGGAAGAAACAGTTTAATTCCCCTTTTGGGCATCCTAGTTAAGATCTGCAATATTAACATAAACCGTCACTTAGTTCGGTTTACGTGCACACACTGGACTGTAAACCACAGTGGCTTAGGGATGGATATAAGTCCTGTCCTACCAACTCTGCTGAGTGAGCAATCACCTGCAGCAGAAGGGAAGGAGCTGTAATCGCTTTAGCTGCTCCAGATAAATCCATATGCAATTGGGAGCCAAAGCACTGGCACAACAGTGCTTGTTTATAATTCTATCATATCACTATATCATGCAAAGAATTCCCTTTGGAAGTCTGGGTGTTGCAACAATATTTAGCACTGAGAATAGCCACATTCAGC